AGAGAGAGAGAGAGAGAGAGAGAGAGAGAGAGAGAGATTAACATTTAAAAGAACGATAAAGAATTATTAACATTTTGATACTAATTTTTTTCTTCAAACGAAAAATTATTCACTTAGTTCAAAGAATTACTTCTTCGAACTAAGTGAATAATTCTAGATTGATTACGATAAGTTACGATCAAATTTAAAATAAAGACTGTTAACAATGAAAGAAAGCCTGAAGTTTATTAATCTGAAGTATGATAAGTTTGTAACATGCAATATTTGCAGATGAGTGCACTGTTTGCACATGATGCACTGCTTGTAGCGAGTAATGCGATTAATATTGTTTTGAAAAAGTATGGCCGTGATTTATTTGTTAATGCATTCAGTCAAAATCAATTGTATAATGCTGGTCAACCAGGAATTCAGTGCAGACATGATTCACAGCATGCTACCTCATATTTAATGCCATTTGAATTTGGTGATAAAATTATCGAAGCCATCAAAGAGGTGTAGTTTCATCTCGAGATTTTATATTCCATGTTATTAATTCAAAAATAGACTTTAGTTTTCGAAAATATCTTCAGACAACTCCTTCATCAGAATTAGAAAGAAATTTGAATGGTAATGTAAGCAGTAGGGAGGAAATTTATTATCTTGTTTCAAAAATATAATTTATAATAAAATGCACTGCTCATTTTTCTATAAATGCGGAAAAAGAGACAATATTACTCGTTATCTCAATGCAGATTTCAATTTCCATTATTTCTCCGTGAATTTATGTGATACCTCAAGAATAAAATATAGAATTTAAGTCATCTGGAAATAATAAATGTCCTTAACTTCTGATCAAATTTCATCAATACTAGAATTTTCTGAAAAAAAAATGAAAAAGAAGATTTATAAAAGTAAGATTGTAGAAATCAATTCTAAATATATATTTATTAACGTTTGACTATGACAAATTAAAAGAAATAATTCCTTGAAGGTAATTATATGATGTCTTAAATTCAAAAAAAATAATTATTCAATTATGGCTACAATCATAATATAGCAATAAGATGTGTATTTTTGGGTTATTTAGAAGAATTCAGATTCCACCAGAAATACTACATACTTCAAAAAAGTATGATCAATAATTGAATTTCAGTTTCAAATATTTGATGATAATAATATTTAACTATCCGAATTACAGGTAAAATTAGACGAAGCTGATGGAACACTTACCGGACAAATACAATTCACCAAATCGTTAAGTCGAACAAATTTTTCAGCGAAAGTAGTCGAGATTAATCCAAGCGGAAGAAGCCTATACAGTGTTCGAAATGTAAGTAACTTTTGTTATTACCAATAACTTCTTGTGTAGATATAAAATTTGATTTAAAATGAATGTAAAAATTGTCTGAAAATATTTTCAGGTTTGATTTAAATTCTTTAACAATTTAAAAAGTGGAATTATTTTTCGGAAAAATTATCACATTTTAGATGTATGATTGGAGACAAGGTGTGGGGTTTATAATGAATACAGAAAGTAAGCCAAATTTACTGAAAGAAGAAACTATCACTCATTTACATCATCGATCTAATAAACTACGTATTGTAACGGTTCTGGTATGTTGATTGAAATTAAATTCATTCAGTAAGCTAAATATAGGGATCCGGGGATTAATTTTCTTGCTTAGATTAGAAAAAAATGATATTTAATTTCATTCAGATCTTGTTAGCTTTAGCTGATCGTAATATATTTATATTTTTTCTTATGAAGAAATCCAATGCACGTTATGAGTAAGGGTCTTTTTATGAAGGAAGTCAATTAGTACTATAATAATATTATTTTATATTTGAAGAATTTAGAATTAAATATAGAAGTTATAGGTGAAACCATTCGTAATGCTAAAACGAACGGTTCGTGGAGAGCCGGCTTATATTGGTAATGATCGTTTCGAAGGATACTGTATTGATTTAATCAAATTATTAGCAATGAACATTAGCGGTTTTGATTCTTATGAAATATTCATTGCTGAGGGAAATAAATATGGACAACGTCAGGATGATGGTTCTTGGGATGGAATGATCGGATATTTACTTAATGAGGCATGTCTTAACATTCTTGAAGATGAAACGTTGAAAATGAAAATTGTATTTTTAATTTTAATTACACGGCAAATTATATGAAGTTGAATTCTATGTATGAATGAAATGCAAATGATTTACTCAGTCATAGATATTGTCAGCTTTTACTGAAAACAGACAGAAAGCTGAAATTTTACAAATGGATGACTGTGATTTTGGAGGAATCGAGTTTTTCAATTTCTGGAAATTTTTCTAAGAAGCAGTACAACTTTTTCTTAGCTTTCAATATTCTTGAAAATTAATTGTAAATGCTTCCATCTTTTTTATTATTTTATTATCCGAAAAATTGATGTGAACCAAACGGGTTCTCTTTTCATTCTTTTTTATCAATTTTTGAACTGATATTTCTATCTAGCATCTTCACCTTCCTTACCATCAGCAAGAAAAATATTGAAAGAAAATTTACGTTCTTAAAATCTAAGAAATAACCAATTTTATTAATATTAGCACCTCCAGATATGTGATTCTTTCTTTAATCTCTTTTTTCTTCCTTCACTGTTAGGCATATTTTAATATTGCCATAAATATAATTAGATTTTTTTCTACAGCTGAATATGAGAGAGAGAGAGAGAAGGAGGACTAATTCTTGACCCCTCTCATAGTTACTTAGCATACATGAACCAAATGGACTGAAGAAAGGTCATGTGAACAGTGCCAAAAAGAAAAAGGTTACGGTAATGTATTATGAGAAATTCAAAGAATCATAAATTGATAGTGGATGATAAGACGAAAAAGATAATAAAAAGGGTTTTGGTACTTGGGAAAATTCTTGCAAGAAATAAACAATACCCAGAAAAAAAAGAAATAGAAACAGATATGTAGACAGCAGATGTCGCCGTAGCACCGCTGACTATCAATCAAGCACGCGAACGTGTCGTTGATTTTTCGAAACCATTTATGACTACCGGAATCAGTATTATGATCAAGAAACCGGAAAAGCAAGAATTCAATGTTTTCTCTTTCATGCAACCTTTAGGAACAAATATTTGGTTTCTCATACTATGCTCATATGCTGGCGTAAGTTATTTTAATATTTAGTTGGAGAATAAGTAATTAATTCCGACCACTAATAATTAACAATTCGATTACTAAAAGCATAATCTTCTTTTGACAACTGAATTACAATTTAGTGTATCTAGCATGTATTTCAAATCAAAATTATCAGTTAAACATAACTAATCAATTCCGATTGCTGAAAATTTGTAATGATGATGAAGAATTTCTGAAATATGATAAAATCATCTATGTTTAAAGAGTAAATGGAAGTTATGCTGAATTACAGCTTGACATTTGGCAGTTTGACAATTGCGTTACAATCTTTTAATATACCTAATACATATTTCAAATCAAATATTATCCCTCGAAGCATCTCAAAAATTCTACTGATATTAGCTAGCCAATAAGAAATTGCTGACAATATTAAAATTAATTTTAGTAATTACTTTAGATTTGAACTATTTTACCAGTTGAGATAATGAATATAATAAAAATATTAGTGATATTCGATGATTAGTTATCCCCACTAACTCTAAGCATTTTTGAGCTAAATGTATATAAATTCTCAAATTCTCTGAATTTTATTGGTCATATTTTCATCCAACTTTTTTTAGCTAAAATTTTTTTGCCTCATTTAATATTTCATGATTAGACTAATAAAGATAAATAGTTCTGATAACACTCATAAAAATTCACTCCTTATCTCTGGATTTTTTTAACTTCAATTATCGATTAATTTATTTCAGGTATCACTTACCATATTTCTAATCAGCTCCTTTAGTCCATACGAAACACGTACAGAAGCAGAATTATCGACGGAACTTTCTCTTTACAACAGTTTATGGTTTACTTTGTCATCATTTATGCAGCAAGGTACTGATATACTACCAAGGTAAGTCCACTTAAATTATTAATTAGAAATGCTTTTACGAAGTCTTTTAGTGCTATGAGCGATCATCTCATCATCCTAAACTTTAATATATTTTAAGCATATGATCTCATATCCTTCCATTATTACGTTCTATTTCTATTGGCATCCATTCTTCATCTCGATTATATCAATTGCGCATTTATTCTAATTAGAAAATTGGAAATATTTTAAGCATAGCAATAAGAAAGGAAATTATTTCCCTTCATCCACTGATGAAATGAGCAAAGAATTCTAAACTTTTGTGAGAAGTGATTATTGTAAGACATATCCTTTAAAATATAATACACAAACATATGGATGTCTTTTGAAATCTGAAATGTAATTCATTTCTATCTACCAAATATATAGTAAAACTTTAAAAGATATCTATTATATATGAATAGATATTCGGAAAATCATCATGTAGGACTAATACATTTTGTAGGATTACGCATTTGAAATAAATGAATCATCAATGAAACGAGAAAAAATTAGCAATCTTTTAACAAAACAATAAAATCAAAAATATGTTGCTTTTCGGAATTCAAATCATCCCGTAAATAATTCAGATTTCTTCTTTCAAAAAAGAATAACTTTTCATTTCCTTCAAAAAGATGAGATTAATCCAGGAGGACTTTTTAAAAAAAATGACGAGAAATCAATCAAGAAGAAAAAAACGATTGAAATCTCAAAGCTCTCCATCCATCAATAAAATTTTAGATTTTTACAAAAAAGCTGGAAATTTTTGTCAGATAGATAATATGTTTAAATGATCTTATTCATGATGAAGTTTTAGTTTTGAGTTTTAAACTTCAATTCAATTTCATTTTATTATGATATATACATACCTAAGCAATGATTCACACTGTGAAAAGTAAGGATAAATGAAAGCGCATAAAGTTTAAAGTTCGCTTAGTTTTGTTGCTTTCTAATTATTCAAGAACAATTTCTTCAATAATAAATGCTCCAAAATTGTCTTACATAATGATTTTATAGCATTTTACATTGAGAAGTATTAAATTTGACTATCAGCAATGAATTTTACTGTTGCCTTCTATACCTGAACTACCTGAATGTACTGTAGAGCACCATCTGGACGGATTGCTAGCAGTGCATGGTGGTTTTTCACGCTTATTATTGTTTCCTCATATACTGCAAACTTAGCAGCATTCTTGACCTTAGAGAAAATGACCCCACCAATTGAATCGGTCGATGATTTAGCTGCTCAAAAAAGAATCCTTTATGGAATCGTTAAAGGTGGTTCAACAGAGGAATTCTTTAAGGTATACGATATTTTCCTATTTATTACGAGTAGTATTTATTATTAAAATGAATTATTGAAAAAAATTATTACCATTAAATTAAATATTAAAATATGTTAAAATTCCAAAAAAAATTTATCATTAAAATATTAAGATTGACAATGTTTTCATTACGATTTTTTTTCATTTCTCGTTCATTGCCAGTACTTGAAAATCGATCACAGATTTATTTGTCCATTCTGAATTATTAATTTTCATTTCAAGCTCACCTGTTTAATATAAATATATTTGAAGGAATCAGCAGTACCAGTTTATAAAAAGATGTGGAGTTTCATGCACGATACGTACACTCAACAACTTCGTTCACAGCAACATTCAAATAGCTCAGATACTGTAATGGCGAATACATATGCTGAAGGAATTGACAAAGTGCGCCGAAGCAAGGTTCTTCCGTGTCACATGTCGCATTATCACCATTTATCATTGAATCCAAGCTTCTTTAAATTTCTTTATATTTCCTAAACACTACTTAAATAGATATTAATCTGCACTTTTATATATTATATTCGACTGATCAACAAACATTTCTCAATAATGGTATAAGAGGAATGGATATAAGGATGCGTGTCATCTGATTCAAAATTCATAATTTCATTCATTCCATAAATTCTGAAATTTTACTTGGAAGAAATGAAGTTATTAGCGAAGAAATTTTGATTTCAATCTGACATTTATGAATTATAATCCATAAAGTTTTGCTATAAACAATCTTTGAAGCGCTTTGCAGGGACAGTATGCATTCCTGCTGGAAGAAACAGCCAATGAATATGAAAATACTCGGAAACCATGTGATACCATGAAAGTTGGGGCTAATTTAAATTCCTTGGGATATGGAGTTGCCACTAAAATTGGCAATCCCCTGAGGTAGTGGTTTTTTTCTTTAATTTTTCCTGCGATAAAATCATTAGTTGCTACTTGAAGTACTCATTCATGTTGGGTAATTTTAAGGAAATTTTTTATATGTTTCAAACTAACATCAATTTCTTTTTGGTAATTATAGGGAAAATAATTCGATAGATTTGTGAGAGATACTCATCTTATTGATGAGGCATCAAATTCAATAAATAATAAAGCACTGATAAAACAGTCTATTCACGTCGCAAAATGATAACTTTATGCATTTCTCATTGTTTACATTAAATTTTGTAATTGGCAAAGTTCCTTTTTTGTAGAGAAAGCATTAATTTCGCAATATTATATTTACATGAAAAGGGTGAATTGAAACGATTAGAAAATAAATGGTGGTATGATCGAGGTCAATGCGATCAAGGAATGTCGATATCAGCGGTCATTATTATTATGTTATGTTGAGGGAAACAATGATGATAATAGTTGTATTATTGCTGAGGAAACATTTAGAATTTGATTATCCGTAGAATCTAACTATGTGATAAGCTAAATATATTCTTCATCTTTCGCTCTTCGGTACTTCTTCGGTCGAAAAATATCTGAAAATGGACGATGAAAGAACTGCAAAACTATTCAAGCTAATTCTAATGATAATGACGAAACAATTTTAGACGTAATTGCTTTTAGGTTTAAAAAATTCATCAAAAATAATTGATACATTATATCATTATTAGCTTTATTACTTTATTCAACATTTTTAGCTAAGCATATTTTCGAAGTTTCATTTTCGTTTTTCCAGAAAGGCGGTAATAGTGCCAGTTTAACTCTTAGCAAAGTTGCCGGAATATTTTACATTCTATGTGGCGGTATGATACTATCAATGGCAACTGCTTTTCTCGAATTTTTATATCGTTGCAAGGTAGAACGATGTGAAGCTGCAAAAAAGGTTATTTCCACCAACTCATCTGCATCTTTCAGCAATTTAACTGCTTTCAAATTGGAATGTTAAAATTTTCACATACAAGCATACAGGCTGTCAAGTGTAATTATTTTCATTTTATGAGGCTTACTATACTTATTTCAGAATCTTTTACGACGAAAAACATTGCGAGATAGTACTGATCATGCACAAAAACGCTCAAGATCTGCTGAATTGTGAAGATATATGTAGACATATAGATATATATTTCAATTGTAAAATACAAACTAATGTCTGACTTTTAATATCAATTTTTTTTTTTGCAATTGCTTGATATTTTTAGCTGTGGAATTACTATGACCATTTTAATTTATATGAAGCTATTGAGAAGTTTTCATAGTTTTAAATTGTAGGGATGAAACTTCAGAATGTTTTTATAAGAAAAAAAATAGATCCTTATAATAGATCCATATATTTGTGCCGCGGTGGTATACGGATATTCATGAAACTTTGATATTCCCGATTCCTATCTATAAACTGAAGGAGGTCCGCCAGCTGTGTGTGTGTGTGTGTGTGCGTGTGTGTGTGTGTGTGNNNGTGTGTGTGTGTGTGTGTGTGCATGTGGTGTGTGTGTGTGTGTGTGTGTGTTTGTGTGATATGTATATATTAGAAAGTGTTGAATATAAGTAGACAGACAAAAGAGTATAGGTAGACAGAAAGTAGACAAAATATTTTTCAATTCACTGGCGGAAAAGGCTAAAGGCAGCTGTTCTGTAATAGGCAGGAGGAGAAGAATAAAAGAAACGCAATTTACGAAAATTTGCAAAACTTCTTCCTTTGAACTTTATCGTCATCATCATCTCATTGCAGTGCTTATCAATATAATTTACATTATCTTTTAATTTAATTTAATTTAATTTACTATTTATACAATCGATAGATGCAAATTTTACTTTCATCTACTGAGAAATCAAAATATATGGAGAGAGGGGGAGAAAGAGAAAGAGAAGGAGAGGGAGAGATTAGAAGGATTAGATTGACAGATATATTATTGGGCATCATATGAATGTGTGCATTAAGAAAAATGATCATATAAGTTCCGTGAACTTTAACATTTATAGATTTTTGAATAGTGCTAGATATTTGCATTCGTCGTTTTTTATTTAAAAAATTTTGATTTATATGTTAAAAAATTTCCTTATTTCAAAACTGTATTAAATTTGCTTTATTTCATTTTTTCTGTTTTGTGAATACTCATGACATACAAGTAAAATTAATAATGAAAAATGTTAATTTGACGTAGAATTCAAGAAAATTACAATGAAAATGTTTCGAAAATTGCGGAATCATTCGTAACATCTCTCCGATGAATCAGTCTTGAGAGATTATAAAATATGAGGGAGGAGGCAGCGCACTTGTCGTACCTATTGGTTTGTTGGTTTAGCTAAATATTATTGAAGGCAATCGATCATTCTGTCATGCTTTATATCTTTCGTTAGGATAGGAAAAGAATTAAATATCTAGAAAAAATTACATAGTTTTTTAGTTTGATCAAAATTTTTCAGCATTTAATGCTTGAAAACAAATGAATCGAAGTAGTGCAAATTTGGTACAAAATTTATCAATTCAATTATTTTAATATCGCTGTAGCAGAAGTACAAATTTAGTTTAAAATTCGTTAAAAATATAAAATGATTTTCAATTGGTATGATATTTTAGCTCATGAGCTAGCCATTATATTATCTTGTTACATTCAATTGTCGAAATTTGTCTTTTGCTGTTGAATTCAAAATTGTCACTTCCATTTACATCACTTTGAATTATTTTTAGATAATTCTCGCGATTATTGAAAAATTTTATTTTGCAACATGTCAAAATACACCATCAGAAACAACAGTAACAGTGGCAGTAATTATAATATCGAAGCCTATAACTATAGGGACAAAAGCGCTTTTGGTGATAATGGCCTGAGCAGAGGAACTGAGAATGATTTAACAAAATCAACATGGTTCCCAAATGCAACATCGAGTTTAGAAAATAAATATAATCGTAGTATTTTCCCGGATGGGCCAATGGCGATCAGTTTTGAAAAATATGTGCATAATGTATTCCGGCCAGGGAATAAATTACCAAAATTGCCCATTGTTTCGGCTAACTCGATAAGTGCTCGTAGTATGCTTCGAGTTCATGATTTACTCGGTTCTGCTGCTCTAAATGAATCCTGTAAGTTTTATTGCGATAATTTTACTAAATTTTCTTCTTTTATACATTGAAAAAATTTATCAACCGATTTCATTCTGTTCTTTAATCATCTTAAAAAATTGATTATTTTTAAATTTTTGAAGTTGATGAAGAAATCATGAAAGAACCGTTGGAGAAAATGCTCAGTGAGCATGGCTTAACGGGAAATGAGAATTACTTGTCTCACTCCTCCACTTATAGTCCAATAGCACTATCATCTTTCCAAAATAAGGTATGATATCATTATTATTATTATTATTATTATTATTAAAAAAGAAAATCTTTGTTAGCTGCAAATTAGCATTCTAAATAAAGGAAACAAAATAAATGTAGCTAAAGGAACAAACAAATGCAACAAGTAAATAGATATGTCAAACATTTAAGACATACTGAAAATATTACTAACATTTTCATTTGCTTGTTTCTGCTAATGACTAGGTGATAAGAACAGCAAACAAAGTGATATTGGTTATATTGGAATGTGTGAAAATTATTGCAAAATGTAAAATGTATATTTAGGATAATTATAAATCTTATCGAGAAAAAGCCAATGATGACTGGAAACGGAATAACAAACAAATGATTATTGATTACAAAGGATCTGATATGTAACATTTTAAAATTCTTCATTTATATTGCAATAAAATACTTCATAATCAGATGAACTCACTAAATGCATACTTATTTTTAATAATATTCCAAAAATGTTCATTCTCACAAAAATTTCATCTAATTAATAGATGAATAAGAGGAACGATCATGTTGATCTCATGTCATCATACTTAATTTTAGTACCCCATTGACCCCGTATATGTACGCCGAACATCCATATGTTCGCAGTCAGGATTCACGTATTATTTGTTCGAATTTCGTCCAGATAACATCACGACCAAAAGATCGTTTCCTGGAAAAAATTGATCAAACACTTGCCGAAGTTCGAGCTATGCCGCGATTTTAAAAATGATCGAAATGGATGATCGCTTTCCATCTGGACAGAATATAATTTTAAAAAAATAGATATTTTCACTTTTGACTTTATTGTCAATCATATTGTTACTTTATTTCTCGTGAAGTATTCGGAATTTGATCAGTTTAATGTTTGATTTTTTAAAAGCTTGTAGTCATCCAATGTGAATTTCATAAGTTTCAGTCTTTTCGAATAAAGTTGCGTTGTTTGAAATGGATTTTGCAGAAAAAATTCGCAATTTTTTTGATATATAATAATTAAATTAATGAGAAAAATCCGGCGAATTTTAGTAAACTGATCAGTTCACAAAAACTTTAGAAGCATGACATGCTAAGATATCAGCATAGAAATATTTGAGTTGCTTCTTAATCTCTGAAATTGGCATGTAACAGTTAACAAATGCAGGAAAGAAACAAAAACTGAATAGCTTAGAAAATTAGCATAAAAATTATTGTGCTCTAATTTTTTTACATTATGTCCGGGTGAAATTTAATTATATTCAAAGAAGAAGAGAAACTGGCAGGGGTCAAACTCTCATCCTCTCATCAAATGATCTTATTTCAAATACTTGTTAATCTACCTACAAGGATCCTATATTTTGTTCAACAGCTTTTGGCTTTTAACTTTAAAAAATCGAAGTAGATATGAAAAATAGCATTTTTTATAAAGCACTTAGAGAAAGCGTCCGGCAGAAAGTATCTATTCACAACATATAAAGCAATTAATATTTATTATGTTTTTTATAAAATTCTAAGTGCATATTTAAAGGCTTGGTGGTTTCTAATCTTATGTAAAATATTTTGAAGAGAATCATTCCATTATTATTATCACTTAATTATATCACATCACATTACAATAGGTAATTATTTACATCTTTTTTCAGACAGTATTTTTTATGATCAGTGATATTTTTTTGACGTTATAGGAACAACACTTTAAAAGGGTAAATTTACAATCCTCAGAAATATAGAAAAAAAAAAGTTCCAGAAGAAACCTTTAAATATGTGCTTTGAATTTTATAAAAATAAAACCAAATCAAACATTCTTTAATATTTTTATTGGCAATATTTGAAGGTATCATAAATATCACTTTCCAATTTGTTTCTTTCACTTCAAAGATACAAAATGATATTATAGTAAAAAAAAAAAAATAATATCATGTTGTTTTTTTTCTCAAAAAAATGAAATAATAAGACGATGCTTCTTACTTTTCGCTTCCGATATTATTTTTTAGGGAAGGAAAAAAATATCGGAGATAAAAAGTAAAGATTGCCATCGTATTTTTCAAATGCACAAATTTCATTCTTCACCAATCACTACAGTGTTATCATTATGAAATTTATACGGTGCTACTTCGAAATTAGTCGGTGCTGATCCCAATCGTATACGATCTGACTTGTCAAATGTTGAATTGTGACAGAGACAGAACCAAACATCATATTCACCCTTTCTATCTAAGAACATATACAGAAATGATTTTTGAAAATCTTAACTGATCAAACGGTTAAAAATTTCAGCTATTAAAATGACAGCGTGAATATTCAATATATAACTGAATATCCGGTGATAATTTGAAAAGACTATCTGGAAGATAAACTTTATGAAATAGATTTACAATCCAACTTTAAATCAGCACATTTAATTCATTATTTCTGATATTTATATTTGAATTCGATCCTTTTTTCACTGCTTAAAAAAATCCGAATATATATTCTTTAGTTTAAAAAGGTTCAAGTGAAAAATTTCAATTGCAGATCCGATTGGCAGAGCAGTTCGGGTAAATAAACATATGAAAGAATTACATACGTATAGGGACACATCCCAGATGTGGACATACTGCAATCAAATAAGCCATTCCAGACGTTTTACGCGAGCTGAGTCTTCTTCCGGATCTCTCAGTTCACTCAATTTTACATTTCGCGCTTCTTCGATTTCAGCCTGAGTACGATGCTTTACAAATAACGGTTTGCCACGCCATTTGAGCGTTTTACACTGCAAAAGCAATTACCTATTTATTACAAAATTGCACGTATCTCTTTATAATTTCTCAACTTTTTCGTTACAACTACCAAAAGTATAGACTTTATTAATTTTTCTGATGATTAATAAACTTCCTTAATCATTAAAAATTTCCCTAATTAATTTGTGCATTCGAATTACTGTCCATCGATATGTTGTAATTTTTTTTTTTGCGAGGAAATGCAATAACCTGCCTTTCATGTATTTCATTCAAATTAATTTCTATTGTGTTATTTGTATTGTGCTAAGCTAATTGATCAGCAGGCATGCTTTTGCAGTGAGCAATAGTTTGGGCAGGTTTTGTAGCCATCGTCATACAAATAGCTCCACTGTGAAAAAAGAACAAAAATAGAAGCATTCATTCTTGATTGAATTGTGGAAATAAAAGCATTTTGAATATATCACTAAGCTTCGAGTTTCCCGACATTTAATATTCATTCAGTCTTTTTTTTACTCGGAAAGTCGAAAGAATTGCTAACTTTTCGCTTGGAATTTTTTAATTCAGAAATACTGATTTTACCTTCTCAAGGTTTTCCCGCATTTTGTATATAGAATTTTTCTATTACCATTCTATTGTCAGATTATCAGATCTGCCAAGCTGGCAGAAAAAATTGTGGTGATGTATGTTCTCCCACATATATGCTGTGTATTATCACAAAAATAAATTTATAAATATTTATAGCACAGAATAGAAACACAATAAGATAGTGAGCACAATGCAAATCGACAAAAATCATGAATCCCCAAAACCAAAAAATACTACAAGTTTTTTCAAATAACTGAAATTATTGCTCAATGTGTGAGAATAACAGGAACAACAAGAGGATTTTCTCTTTCTCTCACACAATAAGATAGTGGACACAATGCAAACAGACAAAACTTATGCAAATTAAAATTTCCCTTTAAAAAAAATTATAGAGAAGGGATTCTCTCCTCTTCTAAAAAAATAAACGAAAACAAAAACAGTTAAATAAATAAAGAAAGACCGAACATAAACACTGGCATGAATCCTTTGGAAGCATTGTTCTGATCTTCTATCCCACATATTTCGATTTAGCCACAAAAGCGAAAAAAATTAAATATGTTTTCGAACGTCTGATTTCAAATATTTTGTTTTGACATAATATCTCATGTGGCTTTCGGTTGTATCATACCACGATTAACTAAATCTGGAACTTCCACTGCTAACCAGGGTCCTAGTCCCAATGAGAACGCTTGCGCAATTCCAAATTTCGGCACATTTCGAGCCCACAACGGTTTGAAGTGATCTGATAAGCAAATTCGTCCTCCTCTAAAGTACTGTAAAATTACAAAACAAAAAAATCACGCTTTCTTTTCATAGAATCAGTTATAGCAATTTTTTAAAGCATATATAACTTATGACTTGAACTACAAATAAGAAGTCAATAATACGGGCATAAAAATAATACATTACTCATATTAAAATTAATCTGAATCCAAGATTAATTTTAATAATGCATTCATCATGTCACTACAACAAATCATCTTATGATTAGGCTGTTTTTAAAATAATTGCCAGAAGAATAAATGAGAGTAGAATCTAACATATAAAAAAAAAATAAAAGTCTAAAATATTTTTTTTTTGAAGGTTACTTTAATTTTGAAGGTTACTCTTCTCAGTATTATATCTGTCATCAAGAGCATAATAATGCAGATAACTCAAGATGAAAACAAAGAAAATAAGTGATTAAAAAACTAATACCTATACATTTTCGGAGTTTTGCCATCTAGTTCGGGTAATGCAATTTCTGGAGCAGTAGTAGGATATGTTACCGGGATGTCAAATTCAACATCAAATTCATATCTGAAGTGAAAAAATCGACCCATCTTAAGCATATTCATTTTTGAAAAAGCAAAAACAAAATCCCATTTGCGTATTAGTAAAATAAAAAACAACGACCAAGAAGGTAATCAACTTCCTAATTAAGTAAATGAAGAATTAAGACACCGGAGCATGTTATGATAATGCCAGCATTTACCAAACCATCTTGTCCCATCGCTGTTACTTTCCAAACGAAACCAATCTAAGTCTGCAGTCTTGTTATTGTTAATAAAAGCTATCAGAGCTTCATATTCTTCCTTTAATCTCTGAAAGTACGGGCTTTACATTTTCCTACTAAGATATTATCTACTATTATTCTATATTCACTTTGACGAACAGTTGCCGCTCTACAGTTAGCAACTACATATGGAATTTCATTCGTCAAAGCATCGATTGTTCGCCTAAATAAACCTTGAAAAAATAGTGCAGAACCTGAATCCATAAATCGCCATCCCGAGGTCCAGCCTTCGTCTTCATCAATGGAATAGCTTTCAGTGCTTTCTTTGTCGATTCATCTAATTCCATTTCCGCTCCTCAATATCAATAAATATTAAAGCAAATATTTTCTACTTGAAGCATTTCGACATATGTCACAATGAAGCACTGGAAAACTTTTGTTCCACAACCTCAAGGAATTTATTCCCAGAACACTTCAATAAAAGAATAATTAAACTACTAAATTATACACTGAAAAAACAGCTCCGCAAACAATTTACAGACGATTTATCCCTTTCAAAATATTCCCAGAAAATATTAATAATTTAAACAAAAATAACGACACTATAACTAGACTAAAATGATCGGTAAAGGCGTTGATATAGAAGACTTTGTCTTATGCTTGAAGTTGATAAACTCTTTAATGGTAGCGTTACTTTCAAAAATATAACAGGCATATATTTTAAAACAATTCGCGAGAATGATTCCAACAAATATAAAAGATGATTAACGATGCAAAACCATTGTGAATGTCAACAGTTAGTACATAAGAACAACTGCTAATTTGTAACACGTTAGTAATTGGCATTTTCGAACACACCGCTTAAACTCATTAGTACTTCGATATCTTGAGCGATCTGAAATACGCTCAAGCTAAAAAAATTAACTTTATGAAGTCATATAAACTATGAAAATCAAGAGAATTAAACAAAAGTGGAAGAAAACAGGTAGTTATCAAAACATAAAAGGTGAATTCAAAGCTTATAAATGAAAAAAAGGAATACAAGAATACTTGAGTATTCTTTTTTTACTCATAATAAGAATACTCATAATATCTTGAATTACAGTTATCCATCAAGGCAGTCGTTACTATGTGCACTGAAATTGCCAAATTTTAAGTTAACATCACTATCATGCAAAGCACATAAACGTATTGCAGCCACGAATTTTTCACGCTTATTCAAAAACAACAAGAATGATTTCTACTCCACAAGTTATGAAAAAAAATAAAGTAAAATGTCGGACACAACAGATATTTATGATGATTTAGTTTTGATAGTGCTCTTCACCTCTTCAATTAGCAACAAGTACACGCTCGAAGTAGGACTTTAATTCAATAAAGTTACTGAATTTGACTTACTTAAACCTAAACAAAGAATATTACAATATGGCATTTTTTCTTCTTCGATATAACTTTTTGAAAGCACAATCTAAAATTATGTGAAGTGATAAAAACTACTACGATTACATGCTACAAAGTTGAATATCACCAGTGATAAGTTGGTATCTTTTGTGCATTATGTTTTGTGGTATCTAAGAAATCTCGAACAATCACACAGATATATATCGTTACATTCGACAAAATTGCAAAAGTTCACATATAATCCGGCTAGACGTTCCACTTTTTGATAATAGCATTTTCTCAGTAATCAATTTTGCTATTAGTTCCGTTCTCGTATAGCATGCTTGTTACTTGTAATGTAACACTTGCTGATGCCCCGCTAATTGCTGTTACCGGGTTATTTTAAATGATGCATAAAGAAATGAGAAATATGGAGAACAAATTCGCCAATTATTATGGGATCATGCGATTTCTCCTCATTTCTTCCAAAATCGCATTTCTAAAGCACTTCCGAGTGGGAAACTCTCATAAGTATCCCCGCGTGACAAATATCAAAAAATCGTCTCTCTGGTAAAAACTGGATTTAACGTTGACGATTACATGCGAGCGAGAGGCCGCGACATGAAAATTGAGACGGGTTTGGAAACGCATTGAGGGATGCGGGGGTGGTATTGAAGGGTAGGACGGGGTTAGTATTGAGAGGTAGGGGGGGGGTTGGTAAGGTATATGAGATAAGCAGGTCTTTTACCTGTTGCACGCTGGTCTTTTTCTCCTTTACAATTTTATTTATGTGTGTGTATGCCTTTTTTGGTGGAATTATTAATGAGGAAGATTTGGATGTGATAAAATTTTTTCCACTCTCTCACTATCACTATTCAAGTTAAGTGATGTGCAAGTAGAAGAAGAAGATTGGATATATTTATTGATCGATAATAGAGTAATGTTTTTTTTTTTTTAGGTGACTGACATGACAGCCTTATTTTCTATTGATCATGTCAAATATGAGTGTAGCTGCGGTGAATGGGAAAGTTTGAATCGCTTATACTTTTGTCGACATTGTTCCAACATTCGGTGTATGTTATGCGTAAGCCAAGAAATGGACACGTCTTTCTGTCCTTCCTGTCTTGACAATGTATCAACCGGTGAAGCAAGACAAAAAAAGAATCGGTGCTCCAATTGCTATCAGTGTCCAATTTGCGGTAGATACTTTAAAATAAAAGTATAAAATAAGTTTGACACTAGTCCATATTAAAATTGTAAGTTCTCACAAATCTTGATAATTGATGAATATAAATATTTTCACAGCTAATGTTCAGACTTTTTAGTAATATAGCATATTATCAGTATTACAGGAGTGAATGCTGTTATACGCGCATCCAATGAAACTTACCATTTATCATGCAACACGTGTCGTTGGACGACGACAGACTCAGGTATACCAGACTCCACTTCATCAACAATCTGGCCACAGTATCAGTTTGAAGATGAGCAGCTATTATCTTCATTCTTAGAAAGAATGAGAAATTACGCGGCTGTCGAAAGGACCGATCGTGAACGACATAAATATTCTAAAAGGTGAAGGAATATAAAAACACTCTTATTTTTTGTACAATATACATGTCAAGTATTAGAAAAAATATGAGATTTAATTTCTTCGAACATTTTCTGTAATTATGAAAAATAATATGCTATAGAAGATCAAACCTCGGCACCGTTCTTTTGGATCGTTTTGGTCTGCAGTCAATGTACAACCGACGAAAAGCAGCGTTAGCTGAACGAACAGAAAAGAAATTTCATGTATTAGAACCTACAGACGATGTACCACAGTTGGATGATTCCATCTTTGACGATCATAAAATAGGTGCTTCATGATTCATATATTCCCATTCATTTTTTTGTTTACTTATTTTAGTCAGCGCTCAAGAACAATATAGCCTGCTATATACGAGCTTTATGTTACTTTTTTTCCATCATGTATATTTTATAGTAATGAAAAATCTTTGTCAGTTGATAAAGGTCTCTTTTTCAACTAATAATGGCTATACATACTTAAGGGACTGTTACGGAAAAGTAGCACTCATGCAAATTAAGAAAAACCTATAATTCAATGGTTTTGACATTTTAATTTCTTTTTTATTTTATAATGAAATTTTTATATCACACATCTATTGTAGACGTAGAAAGCATTGCGACCTTGATGCAAGAAGCAAAACAACCTCTTGCTAATGGACGAGCTCTCCTACCAATTAGAACACCTCTTGCTGGGCGTCATTCAATACGTTGCAAACAGTGCGATCACAGCTTGTGTAAGGGGGAATACAGTCCCACTTCGATCAAATTCAAAATTCAGGTAGTAAATCATACAGTTATGAGCATTACACGATCGACTACTTTCAGTTATCATATTCAGATTTAAAAGAATATCATATTCATGCCGAATTGGTTATTATTTTTTGTACAACATCTTTTTATTAATAATTTTGTTCGGTTCCTATAGGTTTTGGCTGGAAATCATGTGCCTGACATTCGTTTGTCACGCCAAGCAGCTCTTGTAGGAAGTCAGTGGTGTCCGCTTTTTCTCACTGTATCCAATTTCTCCGCAAGTCTCGCACGCGTCGTAATTATTCCATATACAAATGAGGATGAATCGTATGTTAAGGTGAACTTTTATAATGTAAAGAGCGTGTTGACTTTTTGCATCTAAATGATCAGTAAGCGGCATAATTCACAATTTATGGTAGAAAATATTTATCTTATAGTGCGACACTCCTGTGATTGAATTATCTATACCAAATAGGGATGATGCGATGGAATGGGATGAAGCACTTGAAAAGTCTATTAACGAAACTGAAGGGTTGGTTATTTTGTCGATATGACCCAGTAACATTGAAATACGTTTTATATTTTTCCTAATGACAGAGTATTGATTGTCAAAGCTTAATTTATTGAAATTTTTTTAGTACGCATAATATTTTCGGAAACGAGCTAAAACTGATTGTAGTACAAGCTTTGCTATTTCTTTCCTTAAATGTAATTTCCCGATATTTCAGATTTGTTTTACTACGGAGTTTGTGTTTTCAACAGAAATAAGTTTTCTTAAGCTCAAAAAAATTTTTTTAGTTTGATTGTGTTCAGACGACGGCATCGCATTGGTGTAAGATTTAATGTTCACGCAACTGAAGGTACGGATAGAAAATTGGCATTAATTGTGAAACATGGTAATTGTAGCAGTTCATTCGAACATGGTAGTGATCAAACTTGGCTTCAGCACAAGGTGTGCATATTCTTAGGCATGGTTAAAGCTGCAGAGGGGTCGGATACCGTTTAATTGGATATCGGATAATATATTTTACTTTTAATTGCTGTAGCTGCACTGTTGATGTGGATATGTACTTTTTCTTTGTTTGATATATACTTTTTCTTGTGTTTGTTTTACTAGCTGGCTTTGCTTTCAAATTTGTAAATTTACATTTTCTCGCAAATTTTCACAATAAACGTTTAAAGAGATGAAAATTATTCGTGTGTGAGCAGAAGCCGCTTTGCTTATTCTTTGTTTTTCCGATTATTAATTATCGTGTGTAAGAAGAAGGAGAGCTTAAAAGGTGAGAGAAAAGCAGGAAGAAAATTGCTGCATTATTATTTTCATTATCTGATAATATAAGAAATCTGAAATTCAGGTTGGAAGGATTTGTGTATGTCGTTTTTTTTTTTTCGTTCATCTTACCTAGACTATTCATCATATTACTGTTTGCTAAAGGTTATTTTTCTTATAGGCGACTAATAGAGCTCATTTTATATATTCTGTGTGAATTATTCTATTTGCTAAAAATTTCTACAGTGATGGGAACGAAGACAGGTGATGAAAAGTTTGGACATGCATTGCATGACGACCTCACTCTGTCCGCGATCTGCAAGGTAATCACTATGGAACTTCTAACATGACTTATCAAATTCAACAATTACATTATAATTACGATGTGAGTGCATGAATTTGAATTTTTTATTGATCTTATTTCAGAAAATAAAACAGAAAGAGAGCGAGGGGAATCGGAGAGTTCGTTTAAGTCGGCGTGCGTGGAAGTATCGGATCGATGATGATGAAAGTGAAAAAGAAGCTTACATGCAACGATGCGCATACGTTAGTCGTCGAACGCAGTTAGCATGTAAAAATTATCGCCCATCTTCAGAAATGACACCGGAAGGTTTCTGTGAAGTGGTTGGTATTTATGATTTGTCAATGAATGTTGAAAGTCTTTCTAAATGACTCACTTCCATCCTTAGTATAACTTTGTCTCCATTTCAGATGCGCTGCGTCAAGTGACTGAATAGTTTTAATAGTTATAGTGAGATTTTAAGAATATCAAATTATTCTGCATAGGGATGCTGGTTAAGATAATTTGAAATAGGAAAGACTCATATTCTTCATTGTTTTTAAGCATACTCACTTCTTTCAACAACTGGCACAGCACGCTATGACAGAGCAACGTCGTATTGAAAGAACTTTGCTCAATAAACCGAAAGATATAAACATGATGTGAGTCTTTGTATCCATTAGTTACAGAACTTATTATTTGATAATTTTTGAAGAGGAGTCGAACTTTAATATATACTTAAAAGGAGAATGAAAAATATCTTCTTGAAATTCGGAAAATTATATTAGAACATCAAAAAGTAAATCTTTTAGTACTGATGATGAAACACTGATGACGGTGGAAGATTGGGCTTGTGCAGAACAAGACTTATTCAATGATATTCTTTTGGATGACGATGATGAAGACCCTCTGAAGTAATATGTGGTTCTTTACCGAGTTCTTTGTTTACGTAGTTGTATGTCTTTTCTGCTGAAACGCAGTCATACATCGTACAGAACTGTATATGAATCAGTGAAGCATAAATGAAAGATGAAATTTGAAGGCGGTGTTTGGTTTTAAGTTATCACCTCTCATTCACCTTTTAATTTTCCCGCAGGTCATTCCTAATATGCAAATTTTCTTTTCATTCTTAGATATATAATATTTGTTGATGAGCAATTGGTATTTCAAACAGGAATGCCGAAGTTTGGACTGATGAAGAAGTAGTTCGGTGTCAATTAACAGCTCTTGAGCGAAAATTGGCTGTGACTCGTGATTTGAGAAAATTGATAGCCGAAAAAGTACGTCGTCTCACTGTTTTGTACGCCAAAGCCATGGAAGAAGACCAAAAAAAAGGTAGCATATGTTCTTAGAATTCATTATTTTATATTCGTTTAAAAAATTTCACTCATTTTCATCCTTCTGTTGTTGCGTGGAGTGTTCTAGAATGATGTCGGCAATTAAAAATTAAAAATCTAACTATTCTGAGGATGAAATTATTTAAATGAAAAATATATGTATGAAATAGAAGTCGAACTTTCCAGGGAAAGCAAAAGTTGAAGATAGTCGCTTACGAGAGATTCAACTTGCTAACAGGAAGTATCATTCATATCATTCAGCAAAGAACCAATATATGTTAAGAAGACTGAAAGCAAGGCTTGAATGGGATGGTTCTGAGAAACACAAATTAGATTATCTTAAAACAGATGACAGGAAAAGTGCACAGTGCGTCTTCATTCTTAAAGTAAGTGCTGTTTTATCTCTGGAAAATATGCAAATGTATTGTTTCCAGAGATTGCATTACAGAAATTTTTATATAGAACTTTATATATTCAGTTTTGCTGAGTACATTAGTTTCTAGCAATTGGAAATGCTCATTGTCGATATGCACCAACTTCTGAACATAATTTTTAAACAGTTGATATTCAGAACAGCGTTCCGTCAAATAACGGATGTTACAAAGCAGTCACCAGATCACTTTCTGAAACAAGCAAACGACCAGATGAAATGAGTGCGGAACATGATTCTTATATTATTCAAAGTCTGTTAAACAGATTATGTAAACAAATTGAGCAAGCTTCGGATTCTGAAAAAGACCCAACATATGTTTCTCCCGAGGATGAAAATGAAAGGATGAAGAAAGAACATCGTTGTTCAAATTGGACACTTCCAAAATTGAATCACTGTGTTGCACGTAAGTTTACTGATTAATTGCACTTCGTATGCTGTGAATTTACTTACACTTTGCATTTGCTTCATGTTTGCTGTTTAAACTTTGCATATATACTCTGCTGTTAACTGGAATATTTTCATTGGTATTCATGATTTAAGATATATATGATGATTATCGGCAACGTCTTTTTGCACCTTGTACAGAATGCGGCGCGTTGGGTTTGGATTTTGGTGATGGATTGAACTTCTGTTTTAAACATATTGGTTAGCACATTTTGGTTATATTTTACAAATAATTTTTTTAATCTTTGCAATACTCATATTTTATTCTATGCAACTATCATCTATTAAAAGGGCAGGATAGTGCACATTTTTAAATATTATCTAAAGACGTATCTCTTCCAGAAATGCAGATTGTATTTTTTCAAAAACATCTTTTGTATTCTTTATTGCATATTTATAATTTTGATAACTTTGCAATATACACAATCTCTTATAATTCTACTGGTCTTTTTGCTACTCTCCGTACGTGTCTTCGTTTCCATTACAGCACCACTTTTAACATGGTGTACTATGATGATCCCTATTGTTTAGTTTATTCTCCAGTTATTAAAGGTAGATTTTTCCAGCTAAAAGAAATTCAGTCAATACTATTGAGCACTGGGAAACAGTTACTGTGCAACAAGGAACGATTCCAATAAGCAATACATCAGGTGTCTGCCCTGTTGGACAGGTACGATATTTACCCCGATTTGTCCGAGAACTGCATAAGAAGTAACATGGAAATACCGCATATTATTTATTTCATTAGATACGATGGTTTTGCTGTCAGGATGAAATACTAATTTCTTTTGATTTATTATACTTCATCAAATGTAGTTCTTAATAAGCTCAGAGTTCATTTTATTACATACGTCTATTTGCTACAAATTACCGCTGCGAATGAAAAAACATCCAACCCTTTATTTCTTGCTCTTCAGTTAGTCTTTGATTCAAATAAACCTTTTTATGTCATTGAAGTAATTTGTAGACACAAAGCGATGTAAGATCCGATTTGAAATCGTTGGTGGATTCTTCTATTGCTATTGCTAATAGCGGAGGTTAGTTGTGTCAGTTTTTCTCGTTTAGATTATTTAAGTTCTAGTGACTTATTGAAAACAGTTGAAACTGTTCTTCAATATCAGAATCTTTCAGATATAAATATCGCTTATCAGTATTATGTTCATGAATCAATGATTATTATATGATACTGATACCTTTACGAGGTGGTATAGATGTTGGAAAATTGTAGTTAACAATTTTTTTATTTTTCAATCATACTTTATTTAAACATTTTTGTAATCCACATCTGTGCTTTTTCACACAGTTTCCATTTTCATTCGTTAGGCATAACACGGTTAACATCAGAAATTCGCACAATCGTTGTTTTTCGCTTCTACAATAAAAGAAATATTTGATAACTTGTAGGAGATGTTGATGAAGAAAATAAGAACTTCCCAGTAAAATTTGTTGTCATTGATGAAAGAAAAGATGAAAAAAATGGAACTGATGTAAAAATAAATACGCCAACTAAGGGAACCGTAAGGTCTGTTTGATTGCATACTACATGTCTGCTGGATATAACACTGTTTTTAATGCTGTTTTATTAATTGCATCTTTGCTTTAAGAAGTTTTTAAAACTTAAATTAAATTGTTGTCACTTATATAGAGCTTCAATAGCAACAAAAAAGACTGAAATGATGTAGTGATGAACTATAAATCCCTCTTCACTATAAATTTAGATTTCCTTTCTTCAATCGTCTCTAAGATAAATTTCCAAATTTTTAGTAAGTTTCGCACTATTCTCTTTTCCAGAAACTCTGGAGATGTATTACTGCCGCGTGGTATATCAATACATAGGTCATGGCAAGAAGAAGATCTTCATTCCTGTGCTCGAACCAGACCGTTTACAACAGAGAATTTTCCCAAAACTAAAATAAGGTTTGCTTTATAGATTGAGTAGTTCCAGCAAATTTTATTGAATTAAGTTGAAAACCCTCGGAATTAATCTGAATTTGTCGAATATATTTCCTACTTCGTTTGTTAGAGCGTTAATGTACTGAATAATGAAATTGATAATTTCCAGACGAACTGCTGGAAATCGATATTCGCTGTCAGATGTCAGGGATTATTTAGGCGGTTAGTTCCAACGAACTTTAATGGTTTGATCAACTGGTTAAACGTCTATAGCCTGGAATGCTTGTAGCTCTGCTTTATTATTAATGCTAGGATACTGACATACGACGGAATACATCTGGAAATATATTCCGTCGTACGTCAGTACTCTTAGCAATACTCATTTCTAGTATACACTGTTATAGATAAGTTCCATCAGATTTATCTTTTTTTTGCAGGTAATATGTTGAGTCCCTCCATATATCACTCACAAGAACAGCTATCGAAATCAATGGTGCAAGATCTTTTGAGTGGTGGACCAACCAGAGCAGCAGCATCAGCAGCACAGTTTTCTAGAAGAATTTCGACTCCCAGCACCACTTTTAACCCTAAAATTGGATTTAGAAGGTACAACATTTGACACTCTAATTATTTCTTTCAGATTGATATGCAGACTGTCACAAAATTCTAGAAGTTCCCTTATCAGTTAGTACGTCTATTTATATCTTGATTGTCTGACAGTAAATTCAATTAAATTCTCAGTATTGCGTTCATTGACAAATTTTCATTTTACACTGTTTACAAGTCTATTATGCATTCAGCCGATGTGCCATATTGCTCATCATTTTCAGTTTTCACAAGTAAATAGGAGTAAACGTAGTCAATTGAGCTCAAATTAAATGAAAAAAAAAAATTTTTGCTATTAGATACATACATATATCGATATTTTTCAGTTGTGCACAATCTTTTTTAAAAAGTAAGCTATCACACGATACATTTCAGAACTGCTTATAATGCAGCAGTCAGTAGATCGGCAATTGAAGCTCCTGAAATGATATCATTAGGATCAACAAGCAGTGCATCTGTTGCACCAACATCGATGAATTCAACATCTCCGTCTTCCAGATCCGTCATACAAAGACCAGTAACTTTTTCTCTTCTTGAAGAAAATAAATTATTTTGTCCTCTCGAGAATTGGAAGATAATTTTATAGATCGTATTGCGAAGTCGCACAGATACATCATCTGCTGCACCAGGTCAATCGGCACGATTACCTTCACGCTACATTGCTACTGTGGGTAAGTCAAATTCATTATTTCAAGAAATTATTGTGACTTAAAATATTGAAAAAAATTTGATTTTCTATTTATGTGTGTTATTAATTTATAATCATGTTTGTTGTTTGTTTGCCTTGAACAATGATTAGATATTTATACAGGAGCTTCTCGTCTGTTACCAAACTGGCGCAACCGTAGTACTATTTCGCTAGACAGTAGAATAAGGCGAGCACCAGCGAATGTCGTTTTACCTATGGATTATTCTAACCGGTATTTTTTTAACTTTGAATGAGGTGATTGCGGGATAGAGAGAGAAAAAAAGTATCTTTCGATGATTCTTCTATTTCTGTTCTCTTTTCTAATGAGAAAGATTTAACAGTTTGCAGAATTCGAGCAACCGTTTTATAATTCCTTAATGGTAGACTGGATTAATTAAGAGAGATGTTGGAGTGACATGGCTATTTTAATATTATGTACTCTCCTAAGTTGTACTTCATATATTCTAAGAAGTACTGTACCGACTACTTTTGGAAAAAGGGTAGATTTATGTAAGTGTAGGAGATTATTTACAATATATAAATTAAAAATTTAGGAGCATAATGAATTATTTGAATATTTACAGACCTACAAATGCAACAACATCCAGAATTAGTCCCTATCTTCGGCGACGTGATGAACGACAGTTTATTAGTGGCGAGTTTTTTTTAAATCGTTTTTTAGGCTCTTTATATCAAATGTTCTTTGTTGTTTCAATAGAGAAAAATTTACAACTGATTAATGCACTCAAATGTTTGGGCGTATTTATCAAACAAATGCGAATCAATATGCAGATGTCTAACCTTTTAATCAATGCTTCTTCATTTCCTTTGGATTTTTAATTCTCCACTAAGGGCTATACTTTCACTGTCACTTCATTTCCGGAAATTTAGTTGCTCGGAATTCTTCATTCCTGTCTCTATTTTGACCGTCATATATCTTTTATGGTACTTTCTTGTATTTTTTAGTATTCTTGTTTTTTGTTAAGAAAAATTTCATCTTATATCTTTTATACTTCAGTGTTGATATGAGCTTCTCATATCTTATCTAGTTGTAATCTTTTTAAGCTTACATGTCCACCATCTTTTCAATTTGGGAAGCGTTTCTCAAAGCTGCATATGTTTATCAAAATATGTCCCCCTGTTAAAATAAATTTCTAACTTGAATATTTTCAGGAAATGCACGGTCGCGACTTGTTGCTATTGATTCGTTATCTTATACTGCTCCACGGGTTCAACCACGTTCTTATCCACTTTCGACATTTCGACAGGTCGCATTTTACTGTTCCCTTCTATTATTTTGAACGTTTATTTACAAAATATATGTGATTCTAATGTTTTTTTAAAGGAGATTCCGAGGCCGGTAGTTTGTCGACCGCGTGTAACAGCTGAACCAAAGACGCAATCAACAGCTGAAACTCTCGAGACAGCGGCAGCAGTGGCTAGTATAGCTGCCGACTTAGAAACATCTGAGGATAAAGAGGATGAAGGTCGTGGTAAATTAGCAGGCTAATTTATAATTTCAGTCACATTAAGAATGAGCTCTGATATTTTTTAAAATTTAAAAGTACTGAACCATGCTAATAGTGCTCATTACATTTAAAGAACGGCAGATCAATATGCGTATTCTAATCGGCATTTCTATGTAAAGTGCTGAGTTGAAATTATTTTTGAAATTATCGCTTATGAAATATCATTAAAGGGATATTTCTTAAGCTGTGCATAATTAATCTGTGTCCTGCTGTTGCAAGTACGTAAATATTTTAGATAAATTTCTAGGAATAATTAGAAGGCTCGAAACATCTGCTTGGCAAACTGTTGAAGAACCACCAATCGGTCAAAAATTGGCTTCTGAACGACGTGTAATAACTAGGTCTGTCAACAAAAATAAAAAAAGGTACTTTATTCTCTGTTTTTGGAAACTAATATGCGTTCTGAGTAATATTAATAGTGAATTTTCATTGAGAACACAGCATAAATTATAGCTCCAGATAATGTATAAAAGTGTAATGATGCGCTTATAAATTAAAAATGCTTATTGTTTTGACTAGGTTATGACAGTGGAATCAATTATTTCATGCTTGACATATCAAAACGCAAAAACTTTTAAAAAATCATGAACTGAGATACGTCATAAGTTTAAAATCTAGAACTCGATTGATAGAAATATATTTTGCAGTGAAGTTGTACTAAATGCATCGAGAACCAGTAATAAGCGCTCCGCTGCATTGCTTTCGAGGCAGTCAAGTGGTGAGAGTACGGAAGATGGATTAGCAGTGCTTGCAATGGCCGCTGCATCACGAGCTTTTGATTCCGATCAATCGTCACCGCCCTCTAAAAAATCCAAGTACGGCCAGTTAGGCTTGGAAGAAGAAGATGATGAATGAGGGAAATCAAGTGGTGTTTTCTTTGTTAGTCGATGAAGAAGACCTTAAAGCATACGGGAACTGTAAAGACGTAAAGTGATCACGTTCCCGAGTTGTTTCCCCAGCACAGAGTCGAATGTATGTTGCATGTAATAGACAAAGCACGTAAACTTCAGTTTTTTCCGTTATCCTTGTAAACGATTAGAACTGTTTATCTTGATACCTGCAGTATTTGGTTGAGGTAACCTCTCAACAAAACCTATTGCAATCGAGTAACAATTTGAGAACATATTGACAGCTTGAAAAATCTTGATGATTGATGTTTCTAAAAATCTTCGTTGAAATAACTATAAAATGTTGGGAAAGTACTGATTTTGATGTTCTAAAATAGAGAAATGCATGAAAATAAAGATATGATTTTGTTATATATTATAATTCCATACTCCGGACTGATCCTTGGTTGTGAGCCACTGTTATGTATTCGTTTTGATATTATAACATCTGCTTATTAGTAAATCTACTGAAGTGCCGAACTTTCAGGTGATTCAACAATCGTGTTGAATAATATGTGAGCTGCAAGTAAACAAATTTCTTCGCTATATGTGATGTTTTATCCAAAAGCGCTAAATAAAACTTTCATATGATTGTAATTTTATAACTGATTTTGCGATTTTATGTCTTTAAAAACAGTAAATTTGTTCATTTTTTTAAAGGTTTAATGGCAAATGGCAGTAGTAAAAGTTATTTCGACAATAATTTTTATTATTGTCGTTGTCTCTTAGCTTTGGGAAAGTTTAGCCGTCATGTTTATTGGACTCGCATTTTGTCCTCACAATTGCATTTATGTTCATAGCCAGATTTCTACTAAAATCCACTGAAAGATTTATAATTTGTAGATTATGTTTCTTTCGGTGTTCGGTAGAACGTTATTTCTGTTAGTGTTATGGCTGTGGATAAGAGGCAATTCCATTGAGTTTTCTGAAAAGATAGAAATGAGGGTAATGTATTTATGGGTGTACTTCGTCTGCACTTGTATGGAAACGTCACATCTTGACGTGTAAAATAATCATTGTTGGTTAAGATTTGACATGACGGTTTCATTAAACACACATTTTGCGTGAAACTGTAGTTTCGTGCTGTCATTCAATTTGCAACATAACCTTTCTAGAAATGGTAATTAAATATTCTAATTATGCAATCTCTTCATCATCACTATCGCAGCTCCTCTTCGTTTTTAACTTAATTTGTAACACGGCCATCTGAAACATTGTTGTAATAAGTGATTTGAATTTCGTTAGCAGATTTGAAAAGTGTTTTTTTTTTCGGAACGACAGAACTGTAGAGCGATAAATTTAAGGGACTGTCAGAAATTAATTTTGGAAGGATATTCTAGTTTGTAATCTATATTTCAGTCTACTTTTTACAGCTTGAACTTTTTTATACATCATAAGATTTTCGTCTGTGAAACGACAGAGGAATGCATTATCGTGAAAGTTTCGAATACTATTACAATCATGAATTTGGATATGTATTCCAATTTCCATAAGGTGTATGGAGAGGTGAGCATAAAGCGTTTTGAGAAAAATGCAAACTGTAACGACACAATCTATTGTTTTCTGATTTGAGTCATATATATAGCATCTTCATGCAGTTATCTTTTCGCTATTTTAAAATATCTTAAAATATGCATCAATTCGTATCAGTGAATCGATAATTTTACATTGCCTTAAACTGATATCAATCATTTGATAACAGTTTGTTAAAATGCTTTATAAACTGATCAAAAATCAGTAAGTGCGTTGAAGAACGGATCATTTCTGTGCTGGCAATCGATAGATCTATCTATTAATAATTGCTTCAACTAATGAATTCTAAATGTTTGCTCTGAAGCAAATTGCTTGATTCTTAAATTTTGAATATTTTATCTTAACTTTGTCCGTTCTACATAAACGCTAATAATAAAATTTTAATTCTTTAAGAAACGAAAGTTTTCACCAATTTTTAAACAAATTGAGTCACAACTTTACAAAGGGTCCCGAAAACCCATAACGCGATGATGTGCGTAAGTTCGGCACAACGTTGTGACATATATCGACGATACATAAACCAGTCTGAAAAAACAATACTTACAAAAACTTTAAACTTTAAATCACCCTACCATTAAAAGTCAAACTTCATTGCGTATCACGTGAATGTATCATCCAATTCAACTGAACTCTGACATCATTCATTTTGTAATAATATTGTCAACACTGTCATCTGAAGGAATCACGCTTCCAACCATTCCACTTCATCTTTCATTTTACACTGCTTTGTTGACTATATTAATGATACTAACTATTATCACTTTTTACGAGACGTGAATTCTGTCCACATAATTCTATATTTCTAATGTACATTTTAATAATAATGAATATTTCAATTCAACTGAAGGAAACACACAGCGAGATTCTTGTCGATGAAAAAATTACACTCCAAATCATCATCATCTTCACCGAATGAATTGAGTAAATTCATTGCTACTTTCATCCATCCTACATAGAATAAAAATTCGACCATTGTCATCACGGGCAATACCATATCAAACTGTAAAAGCAGTCATCATCATAATCCTTATTATTATAAAAATAGAATTTGAAAGTTTTGCATTCAATAAATCTGAAAGTAAAATTCTTTGAAATTACATTTAGTCTTCTTATAAACTTCACTACCCTTTCAGTATCTCGTTGTTACTTTGATTAATATCACATTGAGATAAAGATAATAACAAACAGGAAATTTTATATAACAACAAAAAAATATCATGTGAAAAATGAATGATTGCGACATACGTGAAATTCGAGATCGGTCCTAACAACAGCTGCTCGGAAATTTTGTCTTGCAAAGAGGCATACAATAAAGTAGAAGTAGACAGATATGGTTATCACCTGAAAATTTTCAAAATTTGATCCATTTCAACGTATCACGAAAGCCCATCCAATTCCTTATTGGCGATTGAGTCAGGCAAATTCTATTAAAATGGGTATTAACGATGCTTTTATACCAGAAATTTAATGAAAATCAACGAGATAAACGATCTAATCGATAATGAGATTAAATAGTAGTTTAGTTACTCCGATTTAAGTCCTACAATTATCGTGGAGAGTAGCCTGATTCAATGCTGCTATCATGACTTCAAATTTATTCGTTTTTTATAAACTTATTAATTTATTTATATGCATAATTAAGGATTAGTACAGGATAAAGAACATGATATAATTTGTTGAAATACCTGTGGATAGACTAAAGGTAGTGGTACCCAATCGTAATTTGTTAGTGTCTGTAGACATTCTCTGAAAGCTTTCAGTTCCTGAAAGAAGAAAGGATGAGAAAAGTTCATCAAAATTCATTTCGTTGTAGCACAAAAATACAAGGTAATGCTAACATCGATAAGCTTGCTCGTTTCTAAGTCATTTATCACTTTACCACTTCTTCTAGCGTTCAATACGTGTGTCACTGACCAAGTTATTGGCAGCCAATATTTATCGTATGATATTTCTAAGCTTTCGAATTTCTCTAGCTCATTCTTCGTCATAAATCCTGCAAAATTATCTTGTATTTAAGAAGCCAGTAATAGCTTATAAAAGAAAAAAGCATCTATGATTTGCAATTGGTTTGATACTGTAAACCGTAAGAGAACCTGAACGATTCGGTTCACTTTCTTATGCTTTTCTTTTCTGCAATCACTTTTATACGTTTCGATCATTACGAATGTAAGAGGACAAATGCGCTCGCTAGAGAGTTTTGCTTCTAAAGTAATGAAGAACAGAAATACCAGCTTCTACTAAACTATTCATTGTAGGAAAGCGCTTCTGAATGCGTACACTGATATCTCGAAGTACCAAACATTGCGCCAAACAGGCATTTCGCACGATAGTTCGACGACACATTCGTGATTCGTCATCCTCTCCATGTATACATCCACTGACAAAAAGCGCCAAGCTGAATTAATTTTTATTCATTAATAATGATAATAATAATGATGAATTTATTCATCAATATATCACCAAATAATTAATATGATAGAGTTAGTAGAAATTAGTATGAAATTAAAATTAAAAAATTAACATGTTTATATTTCTTATAAGATATTTTTTTATGAAATAACAGAATTGCATCAATAAATATTCGTAGAGCAAAAATATTACAAACCTTTCGATGAAACCCATATTTTGCAGTAAAACATTCCATCGTGTGGCAACAGACGAGACAAAAAAACCCAAAATAAATATGAGATTACTACGATTCAAATAGCTCCCAAAATATATTGCAGTTCGTTCAAATACACTAAACTATTTTTGTTTTTTAATGGAAATTGAATTGATTAGAAATATCTCTCATTTCCCAATCATTTAATGGTATATTAAACTAGACAGTAAAACCATATTCCTAAACACAGCTTCATATTAATGGCTGTTTACTTAGGATTCAACATCATCATGAATGCAATTATATATCACTAAAATATGATAATTTCAATCACTGGAGATCACTAAACTGTTTTGTAGCCAAAAATAAGTAAATTTTATCATAGAAAAGAAAAAAAAAGATGAAATGTGATTGGTAATGAAATAGAAGAACTCTTAAAATTACTTTACATTTTATCGACGAAATGAAAAATTTCAAGAAAAAAAATGACCTTCCAATTTGTTGACTCATAAACCAGCCCGATTTATAATAGCAAGTAATAAGCAAATAAAAAATTGTCCAAATAAACAATTCTTTCAGGACAATTTTCCATATGCTTGCTTTCCAGCGAAATAGCAATTTGAGAAATACAAATACAGATGCTGTAGAAATATCTAAATTATACGACATAACCATATTTTCGAGAGAGAGAAAGAGAGGAAGAGGGAGAGAGCAAACAGAGTGAGTCTCCTGTAACATACTAATTTAAGCAATTATCCCAATCATTTGCATAATTATTCGACAGTTTGACACATCATCATAATGTCAAAGAATAATTGCTTTTTTATCAAAAAAAGATTGTACGTTGTAAGTTTCAGTGAACAGTTACTAAAATAATTTGTGCTAATATGAAATTTCAATAACACTGGTGAATTTACTCTTATAAATCATTGAAAAAAAAAAAGACCATGAAAAGGCATTTAAAAAGCTAGCAAAATAACACAAAACCTCGAGGAAATCTGATTTGCCGCTTGTATTTTCATCCAAATTGAAAAATAAGCTATTGCCTGCTGTGCAAATATTTTTTTTTAACTTTAATTTCCTCATTTTTATAACAAGAATAAATCCCATACTTGGTTAAAAAAAGAGAAAAACATTTATAATTGATATCAATACTGATCTTCAAACACTGCTTCACTAATACCAGGTATTTTAACATATTTATCAAAGATATTTATCAGAGGAACAATGATTGAATTGATAGATTCAAATTTCATTCAGTACTCTTTCATTTGTGATAAGCAGAGAAAATATGCCCAAATAAATGAAAATATCAATGCGTAAATGTGATTTTCTGCTTACACATAAGAACAATCTTTGTGTATCATTAATCAATTCCTATTCCAATTTTCAATTAACCTCTCATTAATCAATTCCTATTCCAATTTTCAATTAACCTCTAACAGTTCAATCATATATTTTTCATCTTTTCATCACTGTGATCACCTGTCCGCGAACATGCATATATAATATTGACAAAGTAAATTTTTGAAATCACTGCTTAATATGAAATGAACAAACGATAGTTCTCATTATCAGATGTGGAAAGAGAGTGAGAGAGTTGATGGGAACTTTTTTCAGTATTGCCATACACATGTAGACATCGTTGATGAAAACAATCAGAAAGATGAAGTAGGAGAATAGTACACCTGTCGTTAATTTATGCATATATTTTGCATACAAAAACGGTACATTCTAGGATATACAGCAGTACAGAATGTACTGTATTTTCTCGATGTCATCATTTGAGTAGCAATTCATCGAGAAATATTTCACTATATTTCGCATTTCTTTTGCTATCGTAATATCATTATTGTGAGATCGAAGTTAGCACTGCAACAATGAATCCCGGCTCCTACTTTGGGAAAAGGAAAATTTCATAGTGGTGGGTGTAAGTGTCCGTTGCTGGTGGTTTGTATGTTACGCGTTTAAGTTATACTTTCTGAGGTGAACGATGATTACGCCGGAGTTCGGGACACCGACATCTTTTGATGATGTCGATCGAGCGGTATCTATTCCACCCCAAAAATTACAGAACTCGAAGGTAATGTTTTCTCTTGTTACTTATATTGCAGAATTTTCAAATTATCCAATTCAACATTTTTTTTGTTGTTTTCTGAAAAAAAAATTACAGAACTCAAAGGTAATGTTTTCTTCTGCGTGAAAACTATGTGTTATATAAAGTAAATTTAGCAAATTTGCAGGTAGTAGTGCTTGGAGCGAAAAAGCTTGAAACAGGGAAAGAAGTTCGTGTTGTGCTACCGGAAGATAAATACCTTGGACGTCTTCAAGAAATTATTGTGAAAGATTATTTCCCTGAATTGCCAAAATTGAAAGTATGCAATTTTTTTTTTTCATCATCTAATGAGGGAGTTTATTTCTTGCAAAAAATTGCTGACTTATAGAGGCACTTTGCTTTTTAACGTTGTCTGAAATAACTTTTTTTTTCTAGGCTCAGAAGGAGTATTTGGACGCAGTTGCCGCTAATGATTTAACGAAGATTCGTGAGTTACAGTTGCGTTATAGTACAAAGCGTACTATTCGGCGTACCTCACCTACGAATACAGTTGACAGTCCAAGTGTATTTGACCCTAACACGCCTGCACCCAGCTCCTCTTATACTGAATCGAGAGTTGGAAAAAGTGATGAAGGAAGCTCTACAAAGGTCAGATTCCAATAATGGATTGCACATTATTAACATAATGAATTTAGTTACAATAGCAGCTGCCAAGAAAAAACATAGTGTTTTGGAAATTTTTTGGAAATTTTTTTTGTTTGTTTCGTTCACAGTTGCATGTGGGCAATCTGTTAAAAGAATTATTGGTAAAGTGAAATATTAAGTTTTTTGTAAATCAGTTTCAATTACTCTTCAATATGTGCGTGCAAATTAGCAAAATTGTTTAGTGTGTCATTATTTTCACAATATTAATCATTTTTAGAAGAAAAAGCCGCATGAAAATCTTACGGTTGATACTTACTTGAATAAATTCACCTCTGAGGATAATGCATCATTCGAAGAGCTTGCATTGTTACATAAGAAAAAGGAACAAATCCGTAACGCATGGATGTATGAAGCCGAAAAGAAACATAACGAAGAATTCGTTACCCGAGGGAATAAACTGGTGAAGGCTGCTGATGAACAAATCATAATCTCTTTAGCTCCTAGAGCCATTGAAGGTGCTTTATTTTTACATGTATGAGCACCTATAAATCTACATTTTTGGTATCATTTTAGTATCAGCAAGTTGGCTTACGTTTGATAAAGAAAAGCAGCTTAAAATTACGAAGTTTCAATTAATTTCTTGTGGAAAACATTTTTTTATGTTTTTGAAGGAAGAAAACTTCACGAAAAATTGAATATGTAATATTCAAATGCATTGCTTCAAATGATGTTCAAAGATAAATCTGCCATTCTTATTATAAAGCGAAAAATGGTCTTTCAGAAAAGCCTAAAGAGCTTGATAACTGGTCTTACAAAGCGCGTAATATTGTACATTTTCATCCTGAAGAGGCACCGTTAACACTGGATGAGCACCTTCAAAGGCAAAAAGCAAATCAAAGAATCATAAACAAAAGTGCCACTCGTTTTTCAGAGGAAGTCAACAAGGAGAAAAAACAGGTATTTTTTTGCTGAAGTATTTTTTTGCTGAAGTATTTTTTTGTTTAGTAACTATCCCCAAATTTTTTGAATAAACAAGAACTAATTGCAGATCACTGCAGTTAAGGGAGTGCTGCAGCAAGCAGCAGTGAATACAGGGAAAGTGGACATAACAGGTCATGAGACGGGTTTTACTAAAGCTGGTGTAATGGAACTGGTTGCTACTCCATCACCATCTCCAGGTAATTTCTTATATTTTATCGTTGAGAACTACTTTAGGTGCTGTCATATTAAAGAAATGCAGTTGCTTACTTGTCTTAGATTCTCCTACATTGCAATCCCCAACTTAAGGAAGAGAAAATATATTTTTTTCTCAGAAGCAATCAATTGTTCATCTTTTCTTTTGTTGTTACATAAACAGTTGTCGGTATTTTTCAGTTATTTGCGAAATGGGTAAAGTTTCATCATGAATTTCATTTTCTATGTAATTATAACACATATTTGCAGTAATGGGAATTAATTGGGGTTCTTATTTTCCATTCATAGCTATATGTGTAAGCCATGAATAAATAAATCTGTGTATTCAATTATTAATTCCGTTCTAATTTTAAAACATAATTTGAGGCGTCGACGAATCACCGTTTATGACGTGGGGTGAAATCGAGGGAACACCATTTCGACTTGATGCTTCAGATATGGCTGCTCCAACTTCAGCTCCTGCTTTTAAGGCAAATCATTTAAATTCGTTATTATTGGTCTTCAAAAATTTATTTTTTTAATACTACTACGTGTTAGTTATTATATGAGCTCTTAACATTTCTAGATTCCTGAAGTACCCATTCGAGAAAAGATAGCTCAAAGTATAGCTGAAACGATTGCTAAACGTTATCATGACAAACGGAAAGTGGCTATGCGACAAGTGGAGAAACATCATGCGTAAGTATTCTTTTTATCCTCTTTCAGTTATCATTTCAACATGACATTGTGCTTAATTTAAATGTCCGTTGCCCTTAGTATTACTATTATCATATGTACAATTTTTGTGTAACCTTAAATCAACAAGTTAAATAGAAACGGTCAATCAACTTTCTTAAACTTCCACTGTTTTTGAAACATTTGATACGTCACATCTACAATTTCAGCAAAACACCCAGCTTTGGCTCTATTCGCACTTCTGAAAAGCTTACTGCGATGTCTCCTGCTGCAAGACGTCTTGCAGCAAATGGGCTTGGAATTCGATTGAGTTCAAATAGGGAGCTAAAAATCGATTTCAGTTGTACACCTTTACGGTCAGGGTAAGTTTTAAAAAATTGATTATGCTTCAGAGTTAGTCCAATGAAGATGAAATCAATTTATAGGGATATGTGGTGATAAGCAACTTGAGTTCAAATTTAGCTCAGGATATATTCAAATATCCTGTAGATAATTTGGAAGAGTAAAATTTTGTAAATGAATTGAACATGTCATTACGCGTATATTAATTTATTCTATTTCTGGAAACATTTAGTTTTTGTAAAAATGAATGAGCAAGTAATTACTGTATTTTCTTCAAATTTCGCATGGTTCGGTATTTATTATTTATTTGATTTGTTTGATTTTTCATTCACTTGTATGACTACAAAGAATTTCCTTTCGAAAGAGCTCAAGTTGTGAGTGATCTGTCGATCATACTAAAGAAACTCTTTAATTTCTGGCGATATGAAAGGAATCTCGTTATATAAGTTATGGTAGTGTCAGAAAAACACTTATATCATCATTTCAGGACATCGCATTCTACGTGTTCAACTCCAGATTCATCATGGCTGTTAAGGAAAACACCAAAAAGAAGTGTAGAAGACATCGCTCATACAGATGCCAACTCATCCATAACCGATAACTTGCTCAGTTTCGGACAATCAAGTACTACTGTGAAAAAAACTCGACCATCTGCAGCAGATTTTTTCTAATATTTTGATTATTTTGTGCATAATTCGCTATAAATAAATTTTTTTTATCGTAGTTTGTTTGCGGAATATGTCGTTATATCGTCCAATAATTGTATGGTACTTAAAATTGGGCAAATCTCAAACCTCAACCCTCAGTGCCTCATTGTTCATAGATGCGTTTTTGTGATTAGAGCTGCACTCTTTTTTCGCGCTTTTCTTTTTCATAAGTAGAGTGGAAACACTTAAATATTTAGCAATATTGAAAAATGCCTTAGTAAGTTGGAATCCGAATCACTAGCAGTTATTAAACGGAAGTTTAGCTTAACCATATATGTGATGCGCCTTTTGAAATGGTTATAACGGAAGTGATGGATTGAAATTTCTGAAGTTGATGACGTCTTCATCAATATAGAAATGAGCGACATCAATTTTGCACGTTGTGCTGGTAGTGATGTAATTTGCTAGCTGGGTGTGCCGCGTTTTAATACATTCACTACCAATGATTTGCTATGGCACACATATGGAACCGTCCGTCGTGACAGTGAGTTACATTGGAGGAGAGTAGTATGCGTCGTTGATAGTATGGTTGGCTGGATGAATCGATCGATCCAGTTTGTTTCATTGATATGATTCGTTTTATTAATATAAATTTTTTTGGAGAGGGTAATTGAGTTTGCTAATACAACTTCGGCATTACATGTGTGATATGGACACTTGAACGCATAATTACCATAGGTATATTTTCTTGGTATCCGGTCTTTTTTCGTTTTTCAGATCATGAATCTCTAAAATGAGGATAATGTTTAGTGTGTTTTCATTGTAGCCTTGATTAAAATCATTGATTAAATTGGTACAGAAGATCAATTGCTATCTTTGTTAGGCGCCGATCTACGTTCGCTTTTCTTTCTCAGAGCAAATCTTCGATTTCAGTTGTGGTAAAATACTGTTTTGCACGAATCCATATTATGCAGTAGTTTCTGGCCATAAGATACTGTAGGTTCTTATCGAAGATTGATGCTGTTTCATGTATTTGTTTTACATCACATTGTAGCATAATATCTTTCAGGACATCAATAAGTTTTCTATTTTCAGTGATTGTAGTCTAAGTTGCTGAGGGACAACCATCGATATAAATGAAATCTGGTGGTACTTCTTTTGTATTTGTTTAATTCATAAATATAGGGTTAACATTGGATGGACATTGTTAGTTCTTATAAATTTGGGAAAAATTCAGTAATGAATTCTTATAAAAATATCGAAGTGTATTAGTATTGTCGGGCATTCTTTCTAAACTGATTTTCAAATACATTTCTCAACATTCTATAAAATCTTCCCTTACGTTTACCTTTTCATCAGATGGAGCGTCTATCACCTCAGAGGAAGGCAGAATATGATGTTATTTTTCGTCCTTGTTCTACATGACTCTCAATGTTTCTTTCACTATTAATTTTCAAATTTTTTTCAAGTGTAAATTATTTCTTCGTTTATGCAAGTCCACTTATTTACTAATGGTTGCTTCTCAAAGAGCTCCCCATCAATCTAGATTCTAAGTTTATGTTCGTGTTCCGAAATTTATTTTATGAAGTTTGAAAACCGAAAATCAAATTCGACTCTGAAACCATAACAGCTTGATTAAACTAAATATGTTGCGTAAAGTTTTTGTTCATTTGATTAAATACGTGACGTAGTGGTCGTTGAACACTTTTCATTTAAAGGTAGATTTATAAATTAACGGATTTTCAGACATTATTAAAAGGCGTAATGTTATATGATGGTATACAAAGAAACAGATCGTTTTCCGGAAGGCAAGAATAAGCTTTCCGGGACTGAACAAAGTAGTAAAGGTTCGTTTTTTTGATACTTCAACTCTAACTGGTATTACTGCAGTTTAGAAATGTCAGCAATCTAATTTTCATAAAGATAAATTGTTTTAATCTTTCAATTAAGAATAACCTTTTCTGCTTTTCAGAAACCCATTGCTCATCGCCTTCGTGTAGTATCAGAAGTGAAGAGCTAACTGAAGTGAGTGGTGGTAGCTCAGCAACAGGAAGTTTTCGCAATAACCGGCAGTTAATGCATTCTACAAAAAAGAAAGAAAAACATTCGAAAGACCGGGAAGTGTCATCGAAAAAGCGTAGAAAATCGGTGTCACCGTCATTTCAGCATAATCGGTCAGTTATACACTGTAGTTTTAATTTTTTTTTTAGGATTGCATGAAGCACTATCAGCAGTCAAATCGCTAACTATTTATATTTTAAGTTGAGCAAAATTCAGTTGGTCGTATTTTGTTAGAACGTTAAAAAAACTCAGGACACCTTGGACATTTTTTATTGTTTCACTTGGTTTGATTTGCACTGCTTCTTTACTGTTGAGCACGTTGTGTTATGAAAATGAAATCTAATATTGTCAGGGGTATTTATTACTCACATTAAACTAGTTTTATTAAGAGATGAAAATAAACTTGGTACTAACAGAAACTCTGATTCTGTTTTGGACACCAGTGATTCATCATCCTTAATTTTATATCCTGTCTATCCTTTAAAAAGTAAAAGTGAATCACTTAAGTTCAAGAAAAAATCAAAGTAGCATTGAATAAATTTCGAGTAAAAAAATGGATGCGAAAATTAAGTCTTTCAGAAGGTCAAGGTCGAGGTCTATTTCTCGCAGTCGGAAAAGAAGGCGATCTCCTTCACCATCAACAAATGGTAAAATTAGAGAACATGAACGTCGATCAGATCATAGAAAAAGCGATGTACGTCGAGACTCGACACAAACAAACAGACGGAGTAATCAGAGCAGGTAATTTTGGGTTCAGTAAATTTTTAATTTTCCTGGATTTTTGAATGACATTAAGGATTGAAGTCCTGTTTTTTCCAAATTTCCGAGAATTGGCTTGCTTTTACTGCTAAATCTCTCTCCTTTTTTTTAAAGAAATGGCACCTTTCAATAACTTTTGTTTGATAATTGATGATTATGACTGTCGCAGACGTCGTCGTACTCCACAAAGGTCGTCGAGACGTTCTGATAGGCGAGAAGGACGTCGTAAACGGAGTAGAAGTCGTTCGAGCGCATCAAGTTCCAGTTCTTCTGATACTACATCATCAAGCATGAACGAGTAAGCCCTTCATCGCTTATCATATGAAAGCATTCATTGGCTACATAAATCATAGATTTGTATTAAATTTTAGAATGCGTATGAAGTCATCACTTCTCGGTGAAATTATGACAAGGCATCATGATAAAAGAATCGATAGGACTGCAAAGGAATGGAAAGAAAAACGCCACAGGCGTAGTCCAGCAGCAAAGAAACGTCCATCACGAAGGCGTATTCCATCGTCTGATTCGTCGACATCATCTTCGGGTCGCAGCCCTCCACCTGTAAATTTTAAGTTGATAACTTTATATATATATGATTAAACCCGTTGTATAAAAAAAAAGTTAATACATTAATCAGGCCGGGAAGTTTTATAAGTTTGATTCTTTGTGGTCTTTAAATTTTCTTAACTGTCAACAAAAAAGTGTTTATTACTTTCCAATTCAATAAGTAATTTGTATTGTGGGCGTCAACATTGGTGGTGCCGCCACCGCCACCACCACCAATTCGAGTAATTCCTGCGAGTGTTCCACCACCAGCGGCATCTTTTATCCCAGCTGTGCCAACTTTTATACCTCCACCACCAGCTCCAATTGGTATGGATCCAAATGCATATCAAGTGGCAATGGCAGCTT